AAACATCTAGGATACATGTCTAGACAGGTATCTAGACCTCAGCTGCCCTTTGGATGTGATTTGTACCCGGTGTGTTTTGGTGGGTAGGGGGAGGGAAGTTGGGTGGGTGGGTGTGTGTGTGTGTGTGTGTGTTTTTGTACCCAGACCATGAACTGCAGGTACAACTCTAAGTATGTCTCTTTAACTACCTAATTCCCACCCAAATTTGGGTGGAGTTGCAAGCAGTTAGATTAGCATCTAGAACTACAGGTGAAGGTGAAGATGGTGCTGCCAAAGGGAGTTGTCCCATTGTGCACTTGGGCCAGCAATGTTAGTTATTACCCAGCATTAAATTTGCCAGTGGTGGAATAAATAAAAGGTCGGCGCTCAACTTCTCACAGTTAGACCAGCTCTCCGTGCCATCCTGATACAGCCATAGGGGAAATACGACACTTTCTTGCAATACTATGGTTAGGAAAAATATCAACAATTTAGAGCCAGAATTTCATGCCCGATGCCTCATCTGCATGCACAAGGCTGGCATACGCTCACTACAATGTGCCTATGTATAGAGGCTTAGGCTGTAGTGTGCACCACTCATTTTATTGCTTCATGAAGCAATCTCCTTAAAATACACCCCATGAGACTAATGCTCCTACTGGGGTGAATGTTATGTCAATTACTGTCTCATGTTATGAAACTCACCCTCCCTGCCCAAAGGCTCAATGGAATTTAGCCCAGCCTGCCGCCTCTGTGCAGCCACCACTAACTTGCCTTTGCTGTGCCACAGCCCCTGGCTCAAGCCCTCCTCTTGGGGGAGGCAGGTTCCGTGTGTGTGTGTGTGTGTGTGTGTGTGTCCGTCCAGTAGCTCCTCCTCCAGCCATCCTCAGCTGCCCACTGCACTGTCATATCTAGAGCAGGCAGGGAGCCCCTCTCCAGAGCATGCAGAGGATTCCCAGGCTCCCATAGGCAACTGGTCTTCCTGAGGCCCTCACCTACAGCCCTGCATGGATACAGAATTGGTATCTGCCTCTGCAGACATGACCGGCAGATAACCACGTCCGCAGAGGTGGCTACCTGCGGATCTCTGCAAGTGGGAAGGGCTCCAGATGCAATATTTGTATCGGCAAAAATGAGTCGCAGCTGCAGATAGTGACAGATATAAAGCAAAGATCCTTGGATTTGCAGGGCTCTACCCGTATATGACCCCCACTGTGGGGTTGAAGTGGGGTAGAAAGTGGCTGTTACCCACCATGACTACATCTGCCATCCCTCCTCCTCATGTGCTTATGAGAACAGCTCTAATCCTCTAGTGTCCCCTGGCCCTGCTATGGAAGCTCCTTCCTTGGGCACTAGCTAAAACTCACCCCTTTGCCAGAAAAGTCCAGACTGTTGTCTTTTCTGGTGCCCCTGGGCTCACTGCCCTGGTGGCTGTATGGAGGAGCAGTGCTGGTGCTTGGGCAGGGATGGGAGCATGAGTCTTTACTTTAATGGAGAGTAGCCTTCTGACAATCAAATGCAGATGGACAACTAAGGATCCCAGCTGCCTCCCCACTCAGTCTTCCCCCAGACATCCCAGCCCCTAACAAGCCCTGCCTCCTAACATGTTTGGAGCCTGATTCTGCCACCCTTACTCCCATGGGCTAGCATCTGACTATTCAAGAGCCTCAGAAACCGGTGGAAGCAGTGTCTACACAGCAGCGTTACTGCAGAATAACTAGTGTTATTCCGAAATAACAAAACGTATCTACACTGCAAGCTATTATTTCAAATGTCGAGCTGGAGGACTTCTTATTCCAACTCCTGTAACCCTCATTTCACGAGGAGGGGGGGAGTCGAAGGGAGAGAGCTCAAACTGAAATAGCTTAATTCGGCTTTTGTCTGTGCAGCAGGAAGCCAAAAGGAAGAGCAATGTCAACTGTGTAACTCAAGTTGCATAGCTTAATTCAACTTCTTTGCCCTGCTGTGTAGACATGCCCCGAGTGACTCCTTGGAGTCAGGTACTACTCCATGTGGCTAAGGCATTGGAACTGGGCTCTCCATAAATGCTTATGTCCTGAATTGGGCCCTGAAGGTTAATTGACCTGAGGCATTTCAGATTGAAGATCAGAGCTGTCCCTAGGGGGACACGGTGCCTGGAGCAACCCCTGTGCCACCCTACCCCACTGCACCCCTTGCCCCAAGCCCTACCACTGCTCTGCCTCTTCCTGCTCCTGCTTTGCCCCTCCCATCCCCATTGCACCCCTTCACCAAAGCCGCCTCCACCCACGCTACACGACCGTGGGATTACCGGGTGGCCTGGTGTTAGGCCAACAGCAGGGTCCAGCCCCCACCACACTCACTGCTGCAGTGAGAGCCACGGAAAGTGGAGCAATGCAGCACCCTGCTCCACTCTGCCGCCATCTCCCAGCTGGGTTGCAGCATGTCAGTGCAGGGGCAGGAAGCAGAGTGACCCGATCCCAGGTTGGGCCCACTGCGCTCTGCTCCCCTAAGCCCTGCATTGCTTAGGGGGGAGAGGTGGGCCAGGGCTGCAGCACTCTGCTTTCCATCACTGCCATGGACCGGAGCGACCCAGCTGGGAGATAGCGATGCAGCAGCCTGCTCCACTCCACTCTGCTTCCCATGTCTCCCACCACCGTGGTGAGTAGGGGGATGGCGACTGCTGCCGGTCCCAGGCCTGTCAGATAACCCCCCACCATGCCCGGGGCCCCGGGGCTAACCTAACTATCCCATCCATAGGATGGCTGAGGGGGTCGCCACAGGGCCCTCCAAAACATGGGGCTTGGGGCAGCTGCCCCAAACTGTTCTGTGGATGAGACTGTTCTGCTAAGGGCCTGAGGCATACAGGGGTTGCCAACTCCCTGCAGGGGGAGTCCTCCCTGATCATGTCTGTTGATCTAATGCAGTCGTGCCACCGATGGGGCTTCCCTACCTTGAAGAGCGCCTCTCCCACAAGACTGCTACACTCCATGTTTCACATAGAAATATGTGAGAAAAGAAGTTTGAGCTCCCTCTGTCCAGGGGAAATGAAGGCCCAGATGCACCGAATTATGAGTGTTCCTCTGCGTGTGCTGCCTGTACACCTAATGTGGGTCCGTGGCTCATAATCATCCCCCAGAATGGCAATCACCATTTACATGTCCAATCACAATCAGTGTGTGTACCAATTAGGTGTGAAAGTGCATGCAAACTTCTGCATGCACAGTCCTAAAAGTCTATACCTAGAACACATTTTTCATTTGCGATCTCTGTAGTGTAATGTGTCATAAGGATCAATCTGCACAAATCCAGCTATGATTTTCTCCTTATTTCTGTCTTGCACAGCATCAGCCATATGGCTAACAGTAGGATTGACAGCCCTCCAGAAGTGTGCTGGAATCTCCAGGTGTTAAGGATTAATCTTTAATTAAAGATTGTCATGTGACAACCTCCAAGAATACATCGAATCAAAATTGGCAACTCTAGAACCCGGAAATGTCCTAAAGCGGACATGTAGGCTATGTCTACACTCACAGCTTCTAGCACAAGTACAGCCGTTCTTGCGCAAGAATCTGCAGAGCGTCCACACTGCCCGCCTGCTCTTCCGCAAGTAAATTTACAGTACAGTGTGGTAAGAGAGGGCTCCTTGTACAAGAGCTATGCTTTTTTTATATATAACAGGTGTAAGCCCTCTTGCACAGGAGATCTTGCACAAGAGGGCAGTGTGGACGCTCAGCAGGGATTTCTTGCGCAAGAAAGCCCTATGGCTAAAATGGCCATCAGAGCTTTCTTGCACAAGAAAGCGTCCACGCTGCCATTGGTGCTCTTGCACAAAAGCACAGCTTTCACATGGCACTGTGGACATTTTCTTGTGCAAGAGTTCTTGCACAAGAAGCTGCAAGTGTAGTCAGTCGTAGTGTTTCCACTGGGCGAAGATAGTCAGCCGTGAAACCGACCCAACCTGACCCAGACACAGAATATGCACTTGTACAGAGTACCTGAAAATTTGGGGCAGCAGTGGGTCTTCCTGTCCACCCACTGCATCTTCCTGTCCCTGTTTTGTGGCTTGGCTTCCTTGGGAGAGGATCTAGTTAACTTACAAGTGAGAGAGCCTGACAGACCTATTAGCATAATATCCAACCTGTGAAAGAGCCGTTCAAGTGGCAATGAAGCCATTTAACAGGCATTTGCCAATCCCAAGTATATCCTGTCAATTTACTGTGTTAGTTGACAAGACCTTGGTTTAAAATTTGTTTTAAAAATATTTCATTTGCGATCATTATAAAACCACATCTCTAAAAAACTGCTCTCCTAGGCTGCCATCAGGCAAAGGGGCACAATTTTAATAGTACTGCATAGAGCCCCATAAACCCTGAGGCTGGCCCTGCATGCAATGTGTGTTAATGTTAAGGCAGGAGCTCACACATGCAGTAACTGTTTTTATCTGCAGCCCAGCACTCAGACTAATGTGGAATTGCCTGCCCTGAAACAGTCTATGAAATCCTACCTAGTCTGATCCTAACAAACAAAAGTCACACAGCAATGTGGGCAAATGGGCAAGAAACACATTGGCATACCCAGGAATTGGCTTTTGGAAAGTGACTGCTGAGTCACACCCCAAAGTTCTCTGGAAGCTTTGAGACCCTGTTGCATGTACAATTAGCACATGGCTGGGATACTGGCGCTCAAACACATCCCCCTATTTAATTAGGGGCTGGGACATAATAAATCGAACTTCTTCCCACCCACACATCTAAGGACCTGCTGCGTTGATTGTATGGCACCAAACAGTAAATGGGATGGTGATGAATTTACATACACAAATTAAAAGAGGAAAACTAGTAGCTGTGGTATTATTGCTTGTGTTAATTAGGGTAATTTAAAATGTTTATGAGTATGTTCCCTAATGGAGAGTTTTCCAGAGCGAGGTTGCCGAGAGATTTGTGACCAACCTAATTGTGAAAGAATGGGGAAGATGGAATGAGTTACTGGTGGTGTAACAAGGAGGTGAGAGTAACGAAGTTACATGTCCCAGCACCTACCATATGCTGGATAACAGACCTTCAGGCAGCAAACCGTGCTTAGCACTGTCAGGCTGGTAAGACTGCAGAGGCCAAAGAACATGCCAGAGAATGCGTAGAATGTGCACACCGCATGGTTAAACAGCCATCTGGAAGGGAAAAAATGATTAAGTAAAATCAAAACCTTCACGTTTACATCAAGTGCTGCGCTTGCACTTCTTGTGACGGGGTGGGAGGGAACTTGTCTGAGTTGTTCTGTGCAGTTCATAGAGTCACATGAGTCTTTCCCTCCCAGCATTTCAAACCAGACCCCCAACTGCAGAAGTTTGGCATTCCTCCATCTCATGGTTTGACCCGGGAAACAAAACTACATCGATTGCTTCTTGCGGCTGCAACAGATTGGGGAAATAAATACCTAGGGCCTGATTGACTAAGGAGTTGGGCACATGACTGTGCCCCTACATTACATGCACAATTACCATGGCTATGAGCACAAATGAAGTTATTGTGAATACAAATTATCTTGATTAGCTGTTCATACATGCAGCTATACCTATAAACTGCATTTGCTGAAACAGTTTAACTCTTTGGACATGAATATCTGAGTGACAAGGAAGTAATAATAGCACTTACAGAGCACTCTTCATCCACAGACTTCAAAGATCTTTACAAAGGCTGGTTACTATCATCAGCCCCATTTTACAAATGGGGGGGAAAACCGAGGCGAAGTGACTTGCCCCATGTCACACAGCGAGTCAGTGGCAGAGATGGAAATAATCTCAAGTCTCTTGCCTCCCATGTCCTACCTATTGGTCCACACTACCACCCTCAAAAGGTGATTGGTAGAGTGTAGTGTTGGGCAAACATTGCACAAGGCTGAAAGGTTTTATCCGAGCAAAGCTCCATTTAAATATGCTCCAGTACCTGCTGGTTCCCTTTCTCTTTCCCCCCTCCCCCCCCACTCCTCACTGCCATACCACCTGCCAAAGGAGGGAGCCATATTAGAGGTCTGCTTGGACCTAATTTTAAAGCCCAACCTAGACCCAAACCTGATCTGAGCTCACCAACCCAACTGCAAAGTGTCAGGTCAGTTCTGAAAATGGTTTCCCCCAAATCCAACACTTTGCACGGCACGGCCTGGAGGCTTGGCTTGGGCCTGACTGGGGGGAGCGGAGGGGGGCTTCCTGCTCTCTAAATCCCATGCTCATGATCTGTCTCTGGCTGTGAGGCTGGTGTGGTGTGGTGCAGCGTGTGCTGCAGAGAGAGGTGCTGCGACTCATCACCCCACCCAGCAAGCAGCGAGGTGGGGCCAGCCAGCAGGAGGGAGGTGAGCAGAGACGACCTAGCCTGAGGCTGAGCAGGTTGGGATGTTTTCATACCCGAGCTGAGCCTGATGCTTGTTGCCGTGTCCTGCAGAGTGGCCAGGCTCCAGAGCAGGGGACCTACAGCTCATGGACCAATTGTATGACTCTTCCCCACAATACCACATGGATTCAAATGGACTCGAACTGGAGCCCCTGCCTCTGAGAGGAGCAGACGTGGTGGTCTCTGTACAGCCAGCAGCACTAGCTTATGTCCCAGGAGGGAGTTGGCGAGGGAAGGGAAGGGGAGGGGATGGCTCTATCTGTTGAGGTGGCTCATATCCAGTTTCATGTGGCGCTCTCCCTTGAGAATGATCCCTATTCCCAGAGAAGACCATGAGTTCCCATTAGGAAAAATCTAGGGCCACTCTTTTCTCCCACTTTCCTCTGTGTAACTCTCTTGCCTCCAATGGGATTTTTCCAAACTTACACTGGTGTGATGGTGCTCAGACTTTGGCTCCACCCTTCAGTCCCACTCCTGCTCCACGCAGGATTTGCAAACTGAGACTCGGCGAAATCCCTGTTAAAGGCCGTGTAAACGAGCTACCTGTGTGCAAAGAAGGATGGCGTGGCAAATGGGAAGAGTGTCACCGTCATGCCCAGGTCACTGATAGCCAGGTTCACAATGAAGAATACATGATGGTGCTCAGACTTTGGCTCCACCCTTCAGTCCCACTCCTGCTCCACGCAGGATTTGCAAACTGAGACTCGGCGAAATCCCTGTTAAAGGCCGTGTAAACGAGCTACCTGTGTGCAAAGAAGGATGGCGTGGCAAATGGGAAGAGTGTCACCGTCATGCCCAGGTCACTGATAGCCAGGTTCACAATGAAGAATACA